CATTAAGCACCTCTGCCATTTCCAATTTTTATGTTTATTCCTTTTCCTTCTTCACTGAAAAATAGGCCTACCCTATCCTTGGTTTTTCCTCTTTCTTCTAATGTATCTGTAGAATGTTTTGTTGTTATCCTTTATGTTTCTAGATTACTTTGTACCCTGCCCATTCTCATTTTGCCACTACATACTTGTGTAATTTGTTTATATTCATCCTTTGTATTTTGACATCTTTTCCACTTTTTGTAGGACTCCTCTTTGATATTCAAGATTTCCTGATTAAGCCACACTGGTTTACTTCCTGTCTTTCCTACAGGAAATAGCAGTGGAATAGTTTGCTCTTGTGCCCTTAATAATGTCTCTTTGAAAATTTGACAACTGCTTTGATTGTTTTTCTTCAGACTTACTTCTCATGGGATCTTAGCTACCAACTTTATGAATTTGCTAAAATGTGCCTTCTTGAAACACATTGTCTTTATTTTGCTCTTCTCCCTCCTACCATTCCTTAGAATCAAGAACTCTATCATTTCACAATCACTTTCACTGAAGCTGCCTTTCAGTTTTAAATTCTCAAACAGTTTCTCCCTATTTGTCAAAATCAAATCTAAAACAGCCTCTCTTTTAGTAGCTTTCTCAAACTTCTGTAAAAAAATCTTCCTCATTACATTCCAAAAACTTGTTGGATAATTTGTGCCTTGCTGTGTAATTTTCCTAACAAATATCTAGGTAGTTGAAGTCCCCCATCACTAAGTCCTGTGCTTTGGATTATTTTGATAGTTGTTTTAAAAAAAGCCTCATCTACTCTGCTCAGGTGGTTTGTAGTATATCCTACCATGACATCATGCTTGTTTTTTACCCCATTTATCCTTTCCCAGTGACTTTCAACCAATATGTGTCCTATTTCCATCTCATCTTCAGTCCAAGTATACACATTTTTAAATATATCAGGCAACAGCTCCTCCCTTTTGCCTCAGCCTATCCTTCCTGAGCGAACTGTACCCTTCTCTACCAATATTTCAGGCAAGCGTATTATCCCACCAAACTCTCTGTGATGCCAATTATGTCACAGTTCTGTTTATTTACTAGCATTACAAGTATTTTTCTCCTTATTCCCCATAGGTCTCACGTTATTATCCAGACATCTAAGATACTGATTTGATTTCCACTATAGTTCTGTTTTGTCCCTTCTTTATCCCTGCTATTACAGCTCACGCTTCCCCCAATTTCTAACCTTTCTACCAGGTCTTCATGTTTTTGACCTACCTTTGGGCTTTGGTCACCTGGTTTGACGCCATCCTCACTAGGTTAGCCAGTTTGTGTTCAGTGCTCTTCTCTTTCTTTGATAGATGGACCCCGTATCTCAGGTTAGCTATCCTTCCTTCTAGAACGGTGTCCCATGGTTAAGAAGCCAAAGCCCTCCTGGCAATGTCTTTGCAGTGAGGCATTCACCTCCAGATTGCATCTGTCTCCGCCTGGGCCCTTGACCAGAAGGATTGAAAAGAATACCACCGGTACCCCAAACTCTTTCTCTCATACTCCCAGAGTAGTCACTGCTGATCTGACAAGGGTAATACCTTGCAGTATCCTTTGTACTCACATGGATGAATAGGATGAGGTAATAGTCAGAGGGCCAGATCCGTCTGTAATATCTCAGATACAGGCTCCTGGCAGGCAGCACATCTGCTGGGATGCAAATTCAAGGCATCCTCTTGTTGCCAGAGCAGCGTAATGGTTTTCCAGCACCATAGTGGGTGGGTTGGGATTATGGGTAGAGGACTGTATGCTGCCAGAAGTAACCCGCTGCCAGTGTTCTCCCTGCGACAGTTTTCCTCCCCCAGTGGTATACCAGCAGTCCTCTGCAGCTGGATAGCTTCCTCAGCCTTGGATGTGTCCACAGTGTGGGGTGGCTAGTCTTAACATTCTTCACTTATCCAGGATATTAGTTAAGAAGCCTCCCTCCTCAGTCCAGGCTAGTACCTAGTCCCTAAACCAGGAAACACTTAAACATATTCTTCAATCATATGTGTGTGAGCTGTGCCCTTGAATTTAACAAAGCTTTAATCACCACTTTAGTCAGCAGATTATCTGGCCCACAGAGAATGCCCAAAGCAAGGTGAGGTAGTATGTGATATAAAGCATTGATTGTCATGAATTCAGAATAACCTCATTACGCACAAGTGATGAAACTATGTAGTTATACAGGGCATTGTAGACAACTGATCACATGGCTGTGCTTGTCCATGTAAAGCAGTGGTTTCCAATCTGTCATGCCCAAGATCACTTTCTGAAGTATAAGGGCAACTCACAATCTAGCTTGCCCCTTCTCTGAAGCCCCAGCCCTTCCCCCAAACTCCATCCCACTCACTCCATCCCCCCTCTCTCAGGGTATGTCTACACCACAGCACTAATTCGAACTAACTTAATTCGAATTAGTTAATTCGAACTAAGCTAATTCGAATTAGTGCATCTAGACCTAAAAACTAGATCGAATTAGCATTTTGCTAATTCAAACTAACATGTCCACATTGAGTGGACCCTGAACCGAGGTTAAGGATGGCCGGAAGCAGTGCCGGCAGGGCATCAGGTTAGGACTTAGAGCGTGGAGCTGCTGTCTCAGGCTAGCTGAGGGCTGTGCTTAAAGGGACCTGACCCCAACCCCGGACAGACAGTTCTCAGGGGTTCCCCGCTTGCAAAGCAGTCCTGGCTTAGAGTGCCCTGAGTGCCCACACTCGGCACATCACAGCACTCGGCCATCAGCCTGGCTGCACTTGCCACAGGCTGCCATCC